CGTTGATGATCTTACCGCTTTGGAAATTGTACCCAGAAATTCCCCTTCCTTGATGAATCATATCGTGGCAGATATACACTCGTTTGCTGAAGTGAACAATATGAAGCTGAATCCTGCCAAGTGTAAAGATATGATTGTTAACTTTCTTCATTTCAATACTAGTGTTTTGCATCCTATCATCATTGGTGCAACACGCGTGGAATCTGTTTCATCATTTAAACTGCTTGGAGTGTATGTTACCAGTGATTTAACATGGTCTGTGCATTGCGAATACATTATTAAGAAATCCAATAGGCGTTTATATGCGTTGAGGAAGCTTAAGAGGAGTGGGGTAGCCCCAACAGACATCCTATATGTTTATTGTGCAATTATAAGATCAGTATTGGAATATGCTTCTGTCGTTTCCGCCAACCTTCCTCAAAATCTTAGCGACGATCTTGAAAGGGTCCAGAAACGAGCACTGGCCATAATATACCCTAACTGTTCCTATGATGATGCCCTAAAACTAGCTGGTATCGAACCGCTTGTCTTACGGAGGGACGCCGCCTGTAAGAGATTTGTGAAGACAATCCTACCTGGAAACCCACTCTATCCAATTGTTCATAGCCGGTCAGCACCAGTGAACCATGGTTATAAACTTAGATCTGACAATGTTGCGAGGAATATCAGGATGCGAACAGACCGGTTTCAGAAATTCGTTACCATTAAGTATGCGACCTGAACTGTGATCGTTGAACCTAATAACTCTATTGTCTAGTTATACATTCATTTTTAACTATAATAAATTATGTGCACCTCTCAAATAATTTTGTATAAGTTTTAAATACTGCAAATAATATTTGTAAATAAGATTTTTGTAATGACCTGTAATTCAGTTTCTACTGCAAGGGTTTTTTTAATAAACTATTACTATTACTATTCTCATTTCTTCAAACAAAATTGCTTCAAGCTTGTTGTATATGAAACGATTTTCCAAATATATGTCTTTTAAAATTGAAATCTTGCTTGCCATATTTTTGAGATAAGTGAGGATGACCGCCTACTCAAGATCGTCGTTCGTTGGTCAGCGCCCGCGATAATTGATAAACTTTAGACTTCGCTAATGCTTTCGTTTCCCCAGGTGTAAATAGCCGGGGGGAATTAGTACCCTCGCACAGCGCTTCGCGCCGTCGGCTCGGGGATATAAAGTCGCTTTTAATATTCGGTTATTGTTAATTTTTCCAAATCACCTAGCTGGGAGGCAATAAAAATTAATTTAAAACTCCAGTTTCCGTTTCCTACTCCATTCTCCGTTTTGTGCCAGCTTAATCTCCGGGAAGCTTTCGTTATAATTATACCTTCGATGGTTCAGCCACGCGAGTTAAGGAAACCCTCAAGCAAACTCTCGCATTCTGGTTTCCTTCAAACTTTACGCTGCCTTTTTAATTTCAATATGTGAATTTAACATCTGCTGAAAAGCAAACTAATTAAATATTCATCAAACCGGAATATTGACAAAAACACCAGATCTAAAACCACCTGCAAGCTTTAACAAAGTTGTCGTAAATATGGCGAATAGAACTGAACGTGAAATTGGCGGCTACGAAGCTGAATTTGTTTCGACTTTACCCAACGAATACGAATGTCCTATCTGTCAGTTAGCCTACCGAGATCCAGTGCAGTTGGAGGAATGCGGACATCGCTTGTGTTATTCCTGTCTGCAAGAACTGCGACGAAGGTAAGATAAGGATTGATAATTATACGTGTTTACGTATGGCACGAATGTTATTGCCGCACTAGGACGTATTATCTAAAACCTAAAGTATACGAAATTAATACAGAGCATCGAATTGATGAGCGAAGTATATGCCAAATATTTAAAATTTAGTTCAAGTTTCTCTTAACGACATTACGTTACTCGATCATTGCCATTGGAGATGATATGTAATGTTTCATCTATAAAAATATTCATGTATTAAATAGATAGCCGAAACCATGGTCATGGAAATGTTTCTTTTTTACTTTTATCTTTCGAATTAACTTATATATGGGAGTATAGCGCTATTGATCTCGCTACAAGAAACATATACTCATCTATATGATCATTGTACTGAGTAATTACGAGTGCTTGAAAAAAGTCAAGGCAACAGCAATGCCATGCATGAATAGCCGGATATACAATTGAGTTCGATATAATTAAAATAGATTTTCAAGATATATAAATACATTTCATGACAGAAGTGAAATTTAGTTACGAAAACTAGCTGTCTTTGTAATGAAACGTACTGTCTAAAGCCGGTTTTCCGCTTCAACCGTATCGTAGCGAAGCGTAGCGTATTTCTTTGTTTCCTGAGCACTAGTGTGAAAGTAATGACTTCGACACAAATGAAAATGCTACGACACGTTACGATACGATACGGTTGAGGTGGAAAACTGGCTTTAAGCCAGTTTCCCACTTCAATCGTATATCGTACCGAAACGTAGCGTATTTCTTTGTTTCCTGAGCGGTAGTGTGGAACTAATGACTTCGACACAAAAGAAAATCTATATGTCCCTTTTCCTGATTTCGTGAACTTTCTTAGGTAATAGATTGTGTAGTTTATGGTCAGAGTTTGACATTATTAATTCAATGCACATTCGGTTCTGCCGTTTCTCCAAATTTTCTATATTTTTGCTATCACTGAACGCTTTATTATAATCATATTCTTTATAGATTATTTTAAGTGCTCGTTTTTGTATTTGTGATTACTTTGCCCCTTCGTAATTCCTCCATTCCATACCTGGACCCCGTGTTCAATTAGCGTTGGTCTAATTACTGTTATATAAAACTCTTCAGTTCATATCGTTCGAACTTGCACCATAGGATTTTAATACTTGAAGGAGGAATAGACGTTTCGCAGCTTCCTTATTATTTTCTCTGCGTTTGTATTCCACTTCATATTACCGTCCATCCAGATTCCCAAAAACTTATACGAAGTAACCCTTTCAATTGTTCTCAATTCTCGTTAATGGTATAGCCGCGTTTTGTTTCTTCTTAAATCGATCAACATTTCTTTACATTTCTTGAGGTTAAGTTCCATTTTTTGTTGTTTCGTAAAGTTCATGACTTCCGTCATATTTAATTTCTTCCCTCATATTTCAGCATTCTCAATGGCGTTGCCTGGTATATATGACTTTTGATATCGATAATTTCAGAGATTGTTGTGTCATCCATGAATATTGTTACATCATCATCAGAATCTTCGCTAACTTCAGACACGTCACCATGATCTTTTCCGGTTGTTTCAATACTAAGGGTAGACCATTTATATGAACAATAAATGCAACCGGCCCTATTCTGCTATGCTGAACAATGCTATAAGCACTTATAAGGTTGTCATAGTGACCTGCTAGCTGAAAAACAAAAAAAAACGGAAAACCACCAGAACTTTCTTAAACTTTTAGAAGATCATGTATACTTTTTTTAGCTTTTGAAGCCATTTTAATATCCAAAATTGTAACTTATATTAAATAGGCTAGTATGCAGTTATAGTTATATTTTTATGAACATTACAGGACACGCGTTGATAACAGCAACTCTTTTGCTGAAGTGTTTTTATCCTGTATAATAATTAACAATTATTCGCCGACGGCGAGGTGATTATCGGGGAATATTCGCCGAGACGAAGTCGAGGTGAATAATTGTTTTAGTATTTTTGCACAAGTTTTTTTGTGTTTTTATTTTTCTGGTCTGAATTCATTTCTTTATCACTAACTTCAACAAAACGGCTAGCCGCTATTTTGAAAATTTGTTATATTCACCTGTATAGGTGAATATAACAGATTAATACGTCAAATTTGACCAATCACCTTTTAGGATTTGTTATGTTCACTTCATCACTTGTGCAAAAATACTAATTCGTTTTAATAATAATAATAATTGTATGCATTCTATGCAAGCGCGGACAGTAAGGTAGATACCAAATTTTAATATTTTTAGCTGTTTAGGTATCAGAGGTATACAACATACGCAAGTTCTGCAAAAGGTCTACAAACAAGTTGTTACAAATCTGTTCACATGCAAGTTGTCAACAAGTTGTGTTCGCACTGCTTGCATGTTCCCAGTTGTTGCAACAAGTTTGGAAAAACCTGTTTACAACTTATAACAAGCTTGATTTCATTATCAGACAGGTTACAAGGTGATTCTATCTACAAGTGACACAGTGATGATATAACAAGAATGTCACAAGGTTGACGACGCAAGGTTGTAACAATATCGTTATATCATGACTGTATCGAACTTGTTGGTGTTACTTGTTTTGTCAATTCCCAGGGGTATACATGATGTAGGTATAAAATATCTTATTCCCATTATATTCTTGGTGCTTGGATTGTAGCTACCTTTGACTTATGACAATTGAAATAGCTGAATATTTGAATACGTCCATGACTAGTACGTACCTTGCCATCCACCTTCCCGGCCCTTGAGCCTGGTTGAGTCGCTATCTTTCTCATCAGCCGAAATACAACATATTTTAGAACTGAAAATACGCGAAGTTATTATAACTAGAGAATACTTATGATTTATATGTGATTTACAGGTATAAATTATTATAAACTGGCCGTTGAGAAAGATCGTGACTGTATTTTTATGACCACTACGACCATATCATGGAAACCAGGCTTGGTACGTTAATTAATTTACTGAAAATGCATGTTCTGTTTTAGGCAAGGCGAGTGCTGTGTTTGCCCCTTAGATCGGCGGCCTGTTTCTGCAACAAAGGTGAGATCTCAATGTAGCTAATGTGTTATTTTATAATTCTAACAACTCATTTTGCTTGTAGTTATAGTTATAGTTTAAGGAAAATAGGAAATATAGCTGTCATTCTCATGACGAAATACAGAAATTATAACAATAAAAATTCTAACAGTGTCAGTATACACAAATTAACATAACAACAGCCGGCCAGTCAGAATCCGGTAAGGCTGTCAGCGTATTTGCGTTTTTCTTTTATTTTTAATGTCAAAATCTCAGACAACCAGCGCTGTATTGCTTATAAATATAATAATCTTCATCCTTGCAAAGGCGCGGGCAGCATCCCCATTGCATGCTCTATATGTCCGGTATATAAGCGGAGAATTTGAGACAGCGGAGCATTACGGATTCATAACGGTCAATTGTTAATCTGAATGAATATTTATGATTTATTTAATAGATGTTCTTTGACAAAGCAGCAAAGCGGGCTATCTTAAGTCAAACGGTAAAATGCTGTAACTGGAAAAGAAAATGCGATTGGTCTGGTGAGCTGAGCAGCTTAGAGGTATGAGAATCATGCACTAATTCTTCATCGCTTTACATGCAAGAATTGTACATAAACTATATTAGACAATATCGTCAATAAAAATACAGGTCTTTTAATTTTCAGATGTAGTGTAATGAATTTCATTGTTGTAATTTTTCTAGTTTTCGGTTTGTTGAATTGATAACTCGTCTAATTTTTAGACAAAAAAGTTTGCATGCATGCATACTGCAACTTTGAAAGAAATTTACGCTTTTGAGGAAAATCGTAACAAAATTATGATTTGAAATAAGTTATTAAATTCACAACAGCTGAAATAATGGTGTTGGATATGCAAAATAAGTGTAGAAATATGGCATGTCATTAAAATCAGTGGAATAGAATTTTCATTGAGTAAAATTTAGCATTTTTTCCAAATCCTAATAATATGCAAGCCAACGGCAAGAAATATAACCTAAGTAAATAACTGTCGATCATATTTTTGTAATGGGAACAAACAATTCTAGCTAGATTTTATAAAAATCCTCTTTGGGGGCACAAAATAAACATCCCACGCTATAAATTTTGATAGCAGGTTGGAAGTCATTGCTGATCAAGGTTTTAGCAGAGTGCACTCCGTATTGCAAGTATAAAATGGCATCCAACACAGCAGGGGAATACGGTCGTATACGGACATATTCTAAGTATTGGATGGGATTTGGGGCGCAGAATAAATTATGTCATTAAAATATTACTTTGGCTTTTTCATGTTACTTTAGTGTAAGTTGTAAAGCAAATTTAATATTCTTACAGTGTATTCTTGACAATGCGAAATAAGTTACTTTAGGTTATACATTTAAATACGGTTAATTCGAGCTATATAAAGCCGACTTGGCTGAGTTGAGAATGCCTTAAGAGAGCTTTCACAAGGGTCCAAAAGTACACTCCCTTAATGCTGATTGGTTAGCTAGGGATCATCGCAAAACCAACTTCAATGGACCATCTGTGCATCAAAAACGAACATAGTTCGAGATCCAAAGCAGTCAAGTCAAGTTGTAATTGGTTGAGTTGTAGTTGGGAAGAGCAAGAGAGAGAACAGATAAGAAGAACAATTAAGGGTTTCGGTGACGTATAGTCGCTAGAACGAGCGCCTTTCACGTCCGAGATCGTGGGTTTGATTCTTGCTCACGGACTAATGCGAAGAGTCAGTCAACGAACGCTCTGCCGAACATCGTGGGTTTTCTCCTTTGTAGTGCTCCGGTTTCCTCCCACAGGGAAAGTTGACAGGGTGCATGGGTTAGGAAAAACACAGTTAGGAAAGTGATATCGATCACAATTGTTTTAAAGATAAAATAGTCTAAAATTTGCGTTATAGAAATGTTAATGTTAAACGAAGAAGCTTTGAACTTAAAGAGACTAGAGATAATTTTTGTATTATTATATTTCATACTTTTTGTGTATAGGTTTTCGCTCCTACTCTTAGCTTCGTGCATTCATTTTCCTGTATGAACGTCCTCGTGTAGCAACAACCTTCCTTATAAAGACTTGGATTGTTTTTGTTACAGGATCATTTGAAAAACTGCAATTTTGAAGAGATACAATGCACTAATGCTGGATGTGATGAAATGTTAACCCGACGATCATTGCAATATCATCTCAGTGCAAAATGCAAGTTGAGGATTGTTTCATGTTCATTCTGTACTGAAACATATTGCTACAAAGATAATAAGGTATAGAGTTTTATATTGTGTTACGAATAACAAAGTTAAGAAAGTAAGAAACGACTATCCATGACTATAATATACAGTCGGCCTTGGAACTACCAAATATAATAAATTTTGACCATATTCAGATAAATCAGAAATAGGTTTATATATACTAATGCTTTAATTTAAAGAGGAAGTGTCACCAATTTTTAACAAAAAATGTATTTTAAATTGTTCAGGCAAAGTCTGAACTGCAAATTTGAAAATATAAATTGTAAATAGGTTCAGTTATGATATACAGGTCACAATACTCATATTAAACGATTTTGAATTTCCACACCCCACATGTATAAGACGACGTTTTCATACAAATTGACCTAAACTTGAAAAAATGTCTGCCAACAATTAACTGCAAGATGTCATTTACAATCCATCTCAATCCTCGCCCAATATTGACCATACAGACTTCTGTACATGCTTTTTGTATTTGTTATTGTTTTATGTTGTGTTTACAACCATTCTTTTTAGGTTTTGTGCAAGATTCCTAAATATTTGCGAGGGTCAAAATCGGTGACACTCCCGTGACACTGCCCTGGTTTAATAACTGCGAAAATTATTAATATCAAATAATTATAGCTTCATGAAATAAGTAAGATACGTGGACCGTTTACATGTATTGGTCACGTGACACCATTTACCTTAAAACGAGCAGCTGTGTCAAAATGAATAGAAATGTAATATTTTTCTAGGAATAGTATGGGAACATTTTCTGGATGGCAAGACTTGCCATGTTCCCATATAAATCTTAAGGAAATTTCTAATCTTAAGTTGAATACCAACACTAAGGTGCTTTATAATTTTATCGAGGCGCTCTTTTCATTTCTGAAATTCATCTTGAAAAGACCTGTTGGCGCTATGCATATAAGGCCATATACTTACACGATACAAGATCCGCTTGTTACAACATCGATTAATATAACAGTGACAGGGATCTCTTGAAATTACAATTATATGAGAAAATAAGGCGAAAGGTTCATAACTGTCAAAGAGGAAATTTTGTGGGCGACATTACTCCTGACGGCATGTGTTGATTTAACCGTGAATAAACGAATCTAGTATCGCGTTGCGCGGTCACTCTGATATGCAAATAGACAGCTGTGAACTCGATTTTGACTGGAATAACGTTAGCATATAGGTAGAAACTAACTATACAACAGCTACGCTATTCGGCAGAACTTTACTTTTCTATAGTCTGATGAACAGTAGCCAGTCTGCGCGATTGATAGATAGGATTACGCGCAGGGACGAACATAATTCTGAATGTATTTAATTGAATTCATGATGCGTTTTTGGCAATTTTTGGAAAGCACCATTTATCCGACAAACTTCATTTGATAGTACTTTTTCCAGTTTTTGAAAATTCGCTACACCCATGTCATCCAAATGTGGCAAAACTTTGTATACTACTAATTTGCATTGTGCTTGTCCTCGTTATTGATTATTTTACTGAATGTTATAACATTTACTCTTGGTTCCAGTCCTCATCATCAAAGCTTTTTAAGTACTCAATTAATTGTGGCATATATATTCTTAATAATGTTCTAGCTCAAAAAGTTAAAATTTAGGAACTGTGAAAGACTATAGAGCGAAACGAAAAAATTGCATATATAATTGTTCTTCAGGTACACATGAAACGGTGCAAGCGTCTTCCACTGGAGTGCTTTAATAAATGTGGCAAGAAAGATATCGCAAGAGAAGAGGTATGCTTCTATACATAACATAGTTCCTTAATCTGCCAGAAGAAAGCGAATATTATTCTCCTCCTACGTTATACGGGCACGTACCCTAACCCTACAATGTATATCAGCTGTAGAACACACAATTAATTGTTGTTCAAACTACTTTTAGTATGTCACTACTAATGGAGTTAGCAATGTTATGTTTAATTTTCATAAATAACATGTTTCCATGACTACCGAGCACAAGTCACTCTGAAGTTCTAGCTGTCAAGCATTTCTGACCCATGTATCCATACAAAATACAAAACTCGAAATTAATTAATATATATAATCATCAGAGTTCAATAATCTATAGTACAATAACGACATATTTAGCTGCATATTTCTTTGACTGCCACTGCGTGGGTTTCCCACCCTTTTTCTCGTGCCCGCAAATATATCACGCCCGCTAATATAATTTACTATACGAAAGCTAATTGCCCGCCCACTGTACATGCACCTGTTTGGGAAGGGCGGGTGGCACATGCGTGAAAAAGTTAAACCCAGTTAGGGGTTGGATGATGCAAGGAGCGTCAGTTATATTACTTATTTACGTCATATCATATCATTTCTATAGTTTCTAATCTTATGTGATTATATGAAACACTGCCATAAACATTGCAAGATTAAGTTCTTCAAATAGATCATAGTTTTGCATATCCAAACATATACCCCTTGACAGTTTTATATTTTGGGATTTAATGTTCCATCGGTAAACAAAGCCAAAAGGTCATTTAACCAGATCAACAAGCAAATCTCGCCAATCTACTTCCATGCCAGAATTTTATGGCGAAAGCAAAAATGCCAGGCATGATTTAAGGTTATGGTGAAGGATATATAGGTTAAGGCTATAGCACTTATAGCACTTCACCCTGCTCTTCTCGATTTTTTTACCAAGGTCGTTTGAGAACATTTGTTTTTATATAGATGTCAGTTCATCTCAATACTTGCCCAATGGCCACTCATCCATGTTCTTATGTCGACGTTGGTTGCGACTACAAGGTATTGCTTTTATGATATAATTGAGTTTTTCACATGCAGCCCGGATATTTTATTGCTGTTCCAGGGTCCACCATTTTTTTTAGAAAATTATGAACTGCAAATATACTGTTATTCATGATACTTCTTGTCATGCAGAGTCACAACATAGTGTCATATAACAAGAAGGAGAATTCGTTACAATGTACAAATGGGATAAAATCCCTTTAGAAATAAAACATTCATTATATACAAGACCGGGTAACTGTGTAAATATATAGTCATTCAACTTTCAGTTAATTTCTATATATACCACAGAAAACTATTCTGAATGTTTGACTAGTTGAAAGGATATACAATCGATTTAAATTTAGGAATTTTTCGAATGTTGTTTTTAACATGCATTCATGTTAGATGAGGTTTTATACAAGAATGACATTCGCAAATATTATACATGTACTTTGGACGTTTTAATATTCCTCTTCAAGATGCAAGGATGCTGTACCGTGGCTTATAAACCACGGCAATTGATGGCAATTCAATCTTGAAAATTTTTGCTAAGCTTCTTAATTGTTCGTATACTTTCAAATGTAGTAATTAGTATTTAGTAATTGTACTACTTTCAGTGTAGTAATTAGTAATCTATGTTTAGTATTGTATCTCATTTCGTCTGATAATTTTCAGTTTCAAAAACGTACATCATGACATTACTTCATCTGCCCCTTTCTCCGTCAGCCACAATATAGCCTCAATATTCAGTATATATATACGTTCAGCATATTCGTATGATTAGTGCATTTTTATTTTAACAAATATTGATTATATTTTGTTTCGTATTTCTTTAGGGGAAACGAGACAACTTGGAAGAACACTACAAATCATCGGTGCAAAAACACTTGGAGTTAGCGTGCTGCAAAATTCGTGAAAACGAGAGCAGAACCGTGTGTATAGATGGCAAGTTCATCTGGAAAATCAACAACTACAGAAAACAGATGGATGAATCGCTTGCATCAGACGAGGAGACAGCGATATTCAGTCCAGTGTTCTACACCAGTCAATATGGATACAAGTTAAAACTAAAGGCGTACCTAGACGGACGTGACCGTGGGAGAGGGACCCACCTCTCCTTGTATATTATTATTATGAAAGGAGATTATGACGCTCTTCTCGACTGGCCGTACAATATGAAAGTGACATTCTACTTATTAGATCAAAGTGAAAGACGTCAACATCGCTCGCATACTTTAAGTCCAAACCTCTCACTGCCAAACATCAAGGTAGTCTTCAACAGACCAATAGGGAAAGAGAATCTCGGAATAGGCAACCCATGTTTTGTTCCACACGAGCTCCTGGACTCCGGTGGTTTTGTGCAAGATGATACCATCTTTATAAAAGTCGCCTTAAGTTCATCGACAAACCTTGACTGACGATCAATACTGTTGTCCCGTGGGTGAAGTCCAAGCCCGAACACCATATATGGAGTACCCTATAAAAGACCGACGATTTTTGTTATTTCTGAGCCTGATTCTTTGTGCATGCAAAGTTAAATACTGTTTTTTGTATGCATATAAAATATATACTGAATGGTATATACTGAGTTTGGCAACCGACAATGGCAACGGCAGAAACTGACAAATTATAAAATTATGTATATTTTTCTGTGCGAGCCAAAGCAAACATTACTAAGCTTGATTTGCTTCTTTAAAGTACTAGCAATAGTCAGTAAATTCACATATAAAACACCCCACAAGATTTCAAACGTTCTATATAACTGTCAGTGACTCGTGGTTATGAAACATCTACTAAACTCAGAACCGTGGTTATTATACATCTACTAAACTCAGAACCGTACAGCGTACAGCTATTTCAATTAAGGTTAATGTCGCCGAGCAAAGCGGAAAAGTCGAATACGAGCGCAAAAGGCTGCTGGGAATTGCTAAAAAATTCATTAATTTTTTAGCGATTCCCAACAGCCTTTCGCGCTCGTATTCGACTTGTCCACTTTGCTCGGGGACAACCTTAATTGAAATAGCTGTATACAATTTGTCGCCTTCGATGAACATGTCTTCATTGCCATTGGAGTTGCTGTATTATTTGCCAAACTCACTAGTAGTACAAACTTGAGATGTTTGCGAGGTAGATGGCGTCGTGTAGGCGGCGTCGCTCGGTCATATTACCATGCATGGAATGATAAATAGACTGTAGTGACCTCAATGTAATTTGACTCGAACTTCGTACATGTGGAAATACACCTGCGTTAATGTGTTAGCAACTATCTCTTCTTGTTAAGAGTTAAATTTGCAGAAATAATTATAATTCTTCGTATAGGTCTATACAACAGGGGCTTAGGTCAATAAATATTAAGGGCGCTCAGTACAGAAAAAACATTTGCGCTGCTAAATACATATTTTATAATAAGCAAGAAAAGGTAAGGCAAAAGTCGAAAATGCAAGAAGGATTTAAATAATAGTCCAAAACGCAAGATATGTGCAAGGTTTCGATAAATTTTATAAAACAAGTCATGCAGCTGACTGACGGATATAGCGTAGACTCACAAATTATAATGAAAAAATTAAGCAATGCATGTATGCATGTATTTTGAAAGAATTAAGGAGAGGTCCTAACAAAAAGGTAATACTAATACTATAGAAGACTCTAAAAATGCCATTTCGGACAATTTGAAGACAACAAATTAATTTCCAAAAATGTTCCGCTCGGCGCCAACCATCGAAGTTTAACAGCTAATTCCTACGCCCCTGGATGCTGTTGTTCAAAGCTGGATTAGCGCTAACCCTGGATTAAAATTTATTAACCTGCTGTTTTAGTTTGTGTATTTCTGCACGTCTGTTCATTTCAAAACTTCAGAGAAGAAAACCTCTGCTGATTCAAACCAGATTTCTAGACCTGAAGATTTTTTTTTAATTATATAAACAAGCTGTCAGGAAGTTTGCTTTATATTTTACGTTAACCTATAGGGTTAAGCTAAGGCCCAGCCTCTAAAATTTAAATAAATTCAAGTCTCGATCAACCTTTTCATTAAATTTTAAAAGAGAAATTGTCGTACGCCAGTTATTAATCGCTCTCCATATGGAGATATTCATGCAGGAACATAATGTGAATACAGCTAATTTTCAATTTCTTGAAACTTGACCATCAACATATTTATATTATTACAGTACATTTCGCCACATATAGTATTGCAAGATATAGAAAATATATGCAGCAGTGAATTCACATTACAATAATTTATGTGTACTTTTTTGTAGAAGGGTTTTGTAAATGAAAAATTCGAGTGTGAATTTTAGCCATTACTTAGACATACAGTAACCCCGAGCAGTTGCGAAAATTGTAAGTATATAGGCCCCGCCCTGGCAGGAATGGAACATGCTTCCCTGCGATTCCAGTGCATGCATGCATGCATGCAGTGCTCTTACCAATGCTACAGAGCACAAACTGCAAGTTCACCTTTACAGGGTTCGTATATATACAGGTCATGCAGGAAAAATTAAATTCAAGGACTTTCGAGGTCATTAGAAATCAGTAAATCTAGCGTTAATTAAACTGTTCAAACGGCGACTTTAATGAATTGAAAGACATGAACAAAATAAATTTACAAATTGTTCAATTCTTAATGCCAAACAATTTCAAAAAATATCGACTATATATACATATAAGCAATAACAATTTAAGGACTTTCAAGGCCTTCTTTATAAACTCAACGACTTAAATGTTTCATGGCCTTGAGTATTTGTTTCCAAATTCAAGGATTTTCAAATTTTTAAGGAACCCTGCCTTTAGGTCTAAATAACCATTAGGTCTAAACAATTTGATACTCGAAAATTATAGATACACAACCGTTCTACAATTATAGTTATACATCGAGTGAAGATTCCCAAAATGCTGAATTCCTGATATTTTCCCCTCGTACTTCTTTGTAGTCACAGTTAATATACATGGCATTATATAGATATCACTGTGATCTGCGTTTTCGGTAAAGTACAAGAAATGTTTTACGATAATTTGGCAAGCGTAGAAAGTATAGCAACGGATTTATGGCAAAAGTTGTGTAGTATAATGTGAGTAAGAAACACCACAATATATCTATGGGGAGTGGTCGTTGAAAATATATTCGCTTCGCCATAAGAACTTCGTATAAAATTGAACAAGGAACAATACCAATAATTTCAATACACGCAACCAAAAGTATTGTGTTTAAAAACAGCTTCTCTCTTAACTGACGAATTCCTTGAGTACGGTTTGACCCACTCTCCTGGTTATGCAGAGCTAAATTTCTTGCTTGTTTTCGCAATGATAAGCATGTCAGTACGTATAAAATTCCTACTCCGAACATTATGGTGACTCCAATGTAAAGGTTTATTGAATTAACAACGTAAACACTTGAAGTAGGGTATAAAAGTATATTGACCGGAGAAGAGCAGGACAAAACCCAAATAGATGTTATCCATATGATAATTTTCTTGCCGTTCATCAAGGAGCGATGTTTGAATGGAAAAGCGACCATTAAGTACCGATCAGCTGCAATTGAAGCGATTGTTACTTGAGACCCGCACAATGCAACTTGCCAGATAATATTTATACTCCAATGTATGGACAACGATACGAGTGGTCCACATAAACAGATTGTGAGATCAGCAACTGCGAGGTTAGCGACAACATATGTTGCAGAATTTCTGAAGCATTTGAGAGGATCTTTGATAAAAGCGATCAAAAGTAATGAATGGGAAATAACGCCACATAAGCAGATAAAATAAGTGGGCAAATACTACAAGCTGAAATACATCTTTGACTTTTCTTCGATTGCGATGTTCCGGAATTCTAAGTTAAGCAAGCCGATATTCAGGAATAAAGGCGGTGGAAATGCCTAAAACAATCAAACAAAAAAATGTATGTATGGCATGAACCGTTTCAAGAGTATATTAGTGGTAAATAATTTTCAGCTTAAAAAACTAAAAAGTAAATACACATGCATATGTTTGTACAAAAGTAGAAGTAAACTTGCATGCATTTGCATATAAAAAGTTGAATTGAACATTTTTGACATATAGCTATAGCTAGCGTTTAAAGTTTAATTAATCGGCTACAAAGTATTGTTGAATTTCAACGATTCTGCTTGGAATATTAACAAACATTGTGCATATATTTTAAAAAATCGCCTGTCACTTTCATGTTCAATTAAAACTACGAGCAAAGTTGAGAAAACTTAAAAATTCTACCGCATGTGTCAGCAGTTTCCAAGAGTCTTTGTTTGTGTGTAATCCAGAACCAAAATTAGGCCATTTTGATAAGATATAGTCTAGTATAGTCTTCATAGCAGAGATATGAACCCTGAAAGGCTGTTTATAATTTTGACTGTTTCCCTCGTTTCATCACATCGATAAATAAACACTGAATACAAAATTTTGTTGAACAACCCCTTCAAATTTACAAACGAGCTTGAATACATAATATGTCTCGGAAAACCGACATCTCCCCCTATTCAAATCGAGATTTCGACTATACATAACTCGGCCGTAAGGACTGGACACGAAAAAGAAAGAACGTCATGTAACGTCAAGAATAGTACGCTGCCTCGCAGACGCTCGGCAGCAATAAGGCATTGTTGTTCTTCTTATGGCTTCGACAAGTTCGGCATATGATTCAGAAAGCAAAATTCTTTCAATTCTGGGTGCTGGAGACGCAGATACAACGACGGAGGCGATTTTCGTCAAACTATTTAGCTGTTTTTAGCTGCTGCAAATCAACGCGGATGAATTAACTGAAGAAATATCGCGTTCAGTTGAAGAAGCAAGTCCTTTATACTGAGTCCAATTAATTAACAATATGTAGTGAGATGCCTTAGACTTAATATTTGACTTATATTTGTCGTTTAGGTTGAATGATTAAAGCAATTCCCGTGCGAATATCGACGCAGTATTAAAGCACTCGACAAATTCTACAACTAGTACTGCCTCTATTAACTATGAATAAATCAACGGTCGTTGAGGTTCCGTTGAGGCCGACTCACGAATAAGATCAAATGAAAGTGACAGAAAGAATTAGAGCAGTTTGCAGTCGTTTTTGCAAACTTGGCACCGTGCGAATTTTGCCATAAATTTCACCCATTTGTCGCAGTGGCGTAGCCATGGGGAGGCTGGAGGGACAAGTTCCCCTCCCACTCTCCTTCAGAACCCCCTTCGATATGTTTAAATCCGTTGAGAAACTGGGGGTAACTCTGACCCGATTTCATATCCAGCTTATTAAATATAGCAGCATATCCAGCTTATCCAGCATATCCAGCTTAGTTATTAGATTCGCAATCTAATAACTGAAGACGCATGCATTCTTGACCGAATTATGATGTTATAATCTTCTGAATTTTGTAACCCCGGGCCCCCTACAGTGTTCGCGCCTTCGGCGCTCAACTTGTCCCCCCCCCCCGACTATAAACTCGTGCTTCTTTTGTCAAATAAAAAGAACGAACGAACGCGTGCTCCAGTCTGATTTCCGGTTCTGAAAGGCCCGATTCGCTGGCAAACTGTGCGCGCAAAGCAGTGGCTGGTCATTTCCCATTGTTTAACAGCCCCACACTTACCCCACAAAAACGGATAATTAACAATATTTTTCAAACAGTGAATCTTTGATCGACGTTTTCCATCTAAATTAGACTACTAGAACTTACGTTTAAACCAACCAAGTTATACATGCAGGAGTTATACATGTAAAGTAAGCTTACTAAGAGTAATTTCGATTGAGCGCATTGGCCCTACCATTTTATATAACGCCTTTAAGACGGACATCTATAGGAATTAAATATTTTTTTGTAAAACACGACTAATACGGATACAGGAGGGATAAAGTTAACGTGACAATCAAATGTGCAATTTCCTTCAAGAAATTATGGTGATAAAGACATAGGCTATACCTGAAGCTCCTGCGTGCAAAACATGCACCCAGGAGCTATATAACGCGCGCTCTGATTGGCCGAAACCCGTGTTTGGATCAAGCCATCCAAACACGGAAATTTAAAGTGCTTTCGCGGGAATTTTAAACCTTGTTGTTATTTTATAAAACAATTACTTTATGGTTTCCGTGTTTGGATGACCTGATCCAACTGAACACTTATTAAGAAAAGCTCGCAGAATCACTAATCGCAGAATCACATATTATTAAGAAAAGCTCGCAAAATCACTCGCCTTCGGCTCGCGTTTCGCGCGCTTTTCTTAACTCTCGCAACATTCCCGCGTCTTAAATTTGGATCAGGCCATCCAAACACGGAAACCATAAAGTAACTGTATAATCTTCCCCTCAGGAAATTTAGGTTAACTGCTTCATTGTTTCGGCATGTTATGAACAGGAGAAAGAATGTTTACCCTAAAAGCATTGTAAACAAGATTGTTAAACCATCCCATTCCACAAGTACCAGTTGCAAATGAGGTACCGATAATGAACAAAATGCTTTGCTTAATTAAGTGTTATGGTCATATGCAAAATAATGACCAAATGCATGGTTGAAGTATGGTACTCATTATTGTAAACCCTAAATTGCCCTTGGTCGGCATGGGTGCAAGCCCCCCTGCACTGATTAATATGTGATTCCAGTGAGAAGCAAGTTTATGGTGCTGTTGAGGTGAAATACCCATCGTTTTATTTGGAACTTGTTGCATGATAACAAACCATCACTTAAAAAAAACATATATATTTTTTTCAGTGCCAGGGCACTTTTTTGCCAG